ATAGACTACCCTGATGGAATATTATTTTGCAGAATTTGCCAGGTGTTTGTTGGCTGACCCTTACCCTATACCAAGAGGCCTGTCAGACTGTGAGTCTATCCACTGCTGGCTGCAGGGCAGCATGTATCATATTTCCTCATTGTGGCAGGCCATCCTGTGCACTGGGAACTACACAAATGCCCTGCCTACGAATACTGCAAGTTGTTAATGTCACCATTAACTCTGATGCTGAGGCATTATAGGGTGGATTGTAGTGTAAGCACCTGATTTTTTAAATGTAATACAATGCCTGACATTAAGCTTTTGATTGCCTAAGAATCTACTTCAAAAGACAGCTATCTTGAATAAATACACAGCCAGCTACAAGATTAGACAAAGGGCCAGAACTCCCTGAAGTTTCCTGTTTTAAAAATCTCTGGTTAACCTAGATAACTACCATTTGACCGCTTGTTTTTCCCTTCCTGCATTTTAATTCCCACTCTCATGTTTTAAATTCACCAATAAAGAATGAATCCATGAAATTCTAGGCACCCCACCCTAGACCCCAATAATGGCAGAAGCCCAGGGACATGTGCATGCACTTTCTCTCTTGTTTTCTCTCTCTTTCCACGCACAATCTAACTGTGTGTCCTTAGGCAGGCCACATACCCTCCAAGACCTGAGAATGATAAACCTTTTTTTTTTTTCAAAGGTCCTGGATGGTTGTTGCTGAGATGCATCATGCTATCATAGCAAGAGCTGCAAGGGCCAGTTCAGACACAAAAATGGTTCTGAAAGGGGAAATGTCTGTGGGGATTGCCACATGTAGTATAACTTGAGTACCCAAGGAATTTCTTTTCTTTCTTTCTTTCTTTTTAAATCCTCACCCGAGGATACTCTTGCATTTATCCTCAGATAGAATGGGAGGGAGAGAGGAGGGAAGAGAGAGAGAGAAACATCAATGTGAGAGAGACACATCGAGTGGCCGCCACCCACACAACCCCAATCGGGGCCAGTGACAAACTGCAACTGAGGTACATGCCCTTAGCGGAAACTGATCCTGGGACTCTCCGGTCTGCGGGCCAATGCTCTAACCGCTGAGCCAAACTGACCAGGGCACCCCAGGCTTTTCTTGACAATAGCATCACTATCTATAGGCTGAGGCCCACAGAAAACAATAGAGCAGCCCCAACACCAAGACTTCTACTGTTCACCTTCTGTTGTAGACCAACGAGACAGACCAGACTCAGACTCCGAACTGGGTTCAAATTAAGAGAGCTTTATTAGCCGCGTGGTGACTGTCCCATCCTACACAGAGGAGAGAGCAACCCCGAGCTCAGGGGGTGGGTTGCTTATATAGTTTTCTTAGCCCCTGTTAAGAAATTGGGCTAAGGGTCTGCAAGCAAACAAGCAGGTACAGAAGCGGATATCTGCAGTTAGCCATTATGTCTGAGGGGCAAGCAGTTCTATTTGCACAATATAGTGGTCAGCTCCCACAATATAGTGGTCAGCTCTGGCTGAGGCCTATCTCCTCCCTCCTCCCTCCTACCTAGTTCCTGTAATCTCCTTAGGGTCCAGGGCAAGGTCTACCAAGTGGGAAATTTTTAACTACAAGTTTTCACAGTACTTTAGCTGTATGTTCTTTATGTTTTATTGCCCTATTGTCTGTCCTTCACACTTCCTCCTGTAGTGGTTCTTCCACACTCCTGCTTGGATGAAACTGGTCATTTGCTAAGAAGAAGTGGTCTCTGGGGCTCAGACTAGACTAGAACTCTCCTCAAAGGAGTCACAGTCTCTGGCCACATGTGACAGAGAAATCATTCGAACTCCTTCTAGAATAGAAAGTACAACTGAGGTATTAGATTTTTTAATTTAAAATTTTTATTGTCGACACTATTGCAGATGTCCCCATTTAAACCACAGGTGCTCAATCATAAAATAACTGTCAGGAGAGCATTAAGGACCAGTGATGATCTGCACTGCTTTCTGCATTAGTATAACAAACAGGTGTGCGTCTGTTGCTCGCCACTAAATGCAGAACATGAACTCTGAAAATTATCTGATGTACCATCTCAAACTTCACCCCAGATTTAAAAATCTGGTGTGAAGAATTAGGGTCCACATTTAAGAAGCGTTGATTTACTTAAGCCAAAGAGGTATATATAACCAATAAGCAATTATTTGGGACTTCTATATACCAAACTGTTGAGAGATGGAGTGGGGAGATAATCTTTGTAAGACCTCACAAAATATAGTCCAGTTGGAAATAAGCATAAACATATACCCATATATCAGTGGTTATTTGGAAAACGTACCAAGAGACAATAGTTAGGGAGAGAAAGAGATGCTAAAGAACTTTCTAGAAAGCTTACTTTAATCCTATGAGGAAAGGCAATTCAAGTGTATGTTCTATTGATTACCCCCATTGAAAAAGGACATGAGATCACAAACAACCTCATGGGGAAATGTCACCTATAAATAAGACCAGTGCAATGTAAATAAAAAACAACCCAAATGGGGGAGCCCATCAGAAAAAAGGACACAGAACCTACAATCCCTCATCCTAGCCATGTTCAGAGGCTTGGCAGTCCACTGATGAAAAGTGTTGTTCAATCTCAAATTGTGGGCCTTTATGATTAAAAAAAAAAAAAAAATGTGCTTAAACTCCATTCCTAGTAGAAACTGAGCAAGGAAAGACTTTGGTGTCGCTGACTAGGGGAAACTTGGCCTTGCCTAAGTTTAGGATTGTGCCAAGAAAGCTGGGGCTGGGGAGGTTACTGTGCTGCTGTCGAATCTTAACAGCTATTCTACGCCTCTTGTTCTCACCTCACTTAAAGCTGGGAGAGTCCTCAAAAATTACACGACCCAGTGTCCTGTTTGTACCCCATTTTATGGAGGAGGTAACTGAGGTCCCTCGGGGTGCGGTTAAGAGTCAGACCTGACTTTAATCCAGTTTCCATATCATCTTGGGCAAGTAATTTATATTCTGGACTGCAGTTTCCTCATATGGAAGGTGATAAAAACAATACCTATCTCACAGGACTGTGAGGATTAGCGACAATACAGGAAATCACCTAGTCTGGTAAGGACACGTGAAATCGTCCCTTTATTCTCTGGTGACTGAACTGGGACTGACTCCCCGGTCACCTTATTAACCATTGCTCACTGTGGCCAGGCTCCTGAGCCCTGGGCTTCATGGAGAGCACTGCCAGACAACTCTGCCTAAAGGCATTTGGTGTCTGTATTTGGGAGATGAAATCAGTTCCCATTCCCCGCAGATGTCTCAAACAGGCTGTTCCTCTGCTTTCTGCGTCCCCTTTTGTTGTTCCTTTCTGTCTATACTGTTCCAAGGGCAAAGAACTGCTCAGGGAATTATGTGCTAAGTGCCTGGCATGCTGTATGATGTGGGAAACTCTAACAGATACGGGACTCACTCTGTTTATGGTACTAAATGGTATTGCCCTTTGTACCATCTTCTTAGCCCCACTCCCAGTTCAGGAATAGCATCCTCCTTTTCTGGGGAACTGCCCCACATCAACACATACTCCAATTATGTGGTTCCAGGGGCACCCCCCTGTTCTTACATGACCCACATCTCCCTCTCCACAGCTAATTGGCTCTGGGTTAGACAGTCATGGTTCCTGACCCTTGTGCCTTCTGTTGTTAGCTTAAGGTCAGGCACCTAAGGACCAGCCTGATTTTTTTTTTTAAATAATTGAGGGAAATGGAAAAACCTACACCTTGTTCCTCATATGTCCTGGAGGGATTTTTCATTCCATTCTTCATGAGGAATAAAGGGAGCAGGACTGATATATATGACTGATGAATTTAGCAAAAGAAATAGAGCATACTTATTTAGTTATCTATACTTTTCTCCTTTGGGATCTGCATTTCTACCTAGATGAAATAATACAAGCCTACAAGGGTCTGATGGGGTTAACCTGCAGTAGCCCAGAACTGCCTTTCACTGGGTAATTAGTCAGGGTAGGCTAACTGCTGTAACAAACATTTGAGTTTTACTGGATTAACACAAATGTTTTGTTCGTACTAAGCTCCAGGCCACATTGGTGATACAGGTTATGGGGATATTCTCCTTATGTCATTCAAAGATTCATGAAGAAACCCATATTAGAGCAGAACTGAAAGAATTGAACACTTGCACAATAGAAGGGAAACGAAAGAAATGGACACATCTTTGCAGAAGAGATACAAAGAAGTCATCCAATGAGAGAAAAATGACAATTTGGGGGCATTTGGGATGGTCCCTACCTTATCTTCAAACGCCATGGCATGCCACTCCCTAATTGACACACTCTGCCCTCCCAAAACAGAAGTCTATTAGTGAAATGGACATCACAACTGTAAATCAGATATATACTAATTACCTGGGCTAATCAAATGTTTCCTTTATTCCTAAATATGAATGCACAAAGTTTTATGTATTATGGGAAAGTGAAAGAGAAGATTATGATGGGCACACAACTATTTCTGGAAAGAAAGATACATATACCAAAAAATCCAAATTAATATTCTCAAAATTTTAAGGAAGAAACAGAACACGGTGCTATTAAAGGGAATAACTAGAAAACAATAGAAAGTACTTGAAAATAGAAATGTTGCCAAATGAAAAACTTAATAGACGCGAGGCACTCACCACAAAGCCTCTGGGCCTCACCAGACGCTGATGGAACCTGGAACGCAATGCTCCAGCCCCGCCCCCTTCACGCCCTCCCCCAACTGACTCCACCCCTCCCCCACTCAGTAAAGGATCTCATTTCCGTTGCCATTCCAGAACTTCCGCCTGGCCTTATAGCCCACCAGCAGGTGTCCCCCTCTTCAATTTCCGGAGCTAACTGAGGTCCCTCCTCTACCACTTCTGACTCAACCTCAGGCTGTCCTCGTCGCCTACACCAGGGACACTTGAGATCCCACAGCTTCCACCTTGCCACGCCCCTGACCGCCTCACAGCTCCTGCTTCCGCACAACCTTAGTCTTGGTGATCCCTTGGAACATCTCCAGACATGGCGACCCCGCCGCCCTCACAAGTGCGCCAGAGCTACCACCCTGAGTGCACGGCCGCCATTAACAACCAGGTACACCTGGAGCTCTACGCCTCCTACGTGTACACGTCCATGGCATGTTATTTCGATAAGATGTCCTCCAAGCACTTGGTGGAGTTCTTCCTGCAGCAGTCGAGCAAGGAGAAAGAGCACGCCGAGAGGCTGATACAGCTGCAGAACCAACGCGGCGGCGGCACTTTTGCACGTAACATCAGCAGGCCTGACCGTAACTGCTGGGGGAACAGCCTGAAGGCCCTGGAGTGTGCCTTGCACCTATCGATGACGGTGAATCAAAGCCTAATCGATCTGCACAAGTTGGCCACCGAGAAGAAGGACGCCCACCTGTGCGATAACCTGGAGAGTCACTACCTGCAGGGGCAGGAGAACTTCATCAAGGAGTTGGGGGGCTATATCACCAACCTGCGCAAGATGGGAGCCCCAGAATCCGGCCTGGCAGAGTACCTCTTTGGCAAGCTTACCCTGGGCAACAGTAAGAACTGAGCCCGGACTGCCTTCCTGATAACCACTGGGTGAATTCCCCAGGTCACTGTGCCGAGCATGCATGTTCAGTATTGCCCTTCCAGCCTTACCATTTCTTGCAATAAAGTTGTTGGTTCCTAAATAGAGGTCTCTGGTGGATTGATGTGAACAATAACTTTCACATTTTAAGTCTTAAAACAGGAATCCAGGAGTCTGTGCACCCACCCATGCCCCATCCACATGCACCTCGGGATTTCCATGGATGGAAGGAGGAGGTATTCTATGGGACCCTCAACAGAGGGAGCAGGTATTCTGTGGGACCCTGAAAAATAGTCTTACTTTTATAAACAATGTGGTATATGGGAGTGGGCTGAGGTGGGGCCCTGGTGCATGTGGGCGCACGTGCATGGAAAAAGTATAGAAACATGGCCTGAAAATCAGGATTTCAGTTGCCTCTGGGGAAGACGTGAAGGGAACAGGATTGGGCAAGGATTAAAATAAAAAGGGCCTTCACTTTATCTGAAATGTTAATAGTTAATTCTAGGTAGCTAGAATTGTAGGCCTTGCACAAGCTAATTGTGGGTCACAGTGATAACGCAGCTGGTATTGGGCTGGCTTTCCCATAGACATGGGGGGACTGCCTGTAGTCACCAGTGCTGGGCATGCATATTCCCCTTACAATACTTCCAGGTGTGATTTCAACTTCAACTGTACTATTTCTTGCTATAAAGGAACATGGTAAAAAAAAAGAAAAAGAAAAAAAAGTTACCTCAGTAAGAAGGCTGAAAAATATAAAATCATGGATACAGGTCAAATTTCTAATATTGAATATTAAGTAGAATAAATCCCACTGAATGTTAGGTCAGTGAATGGCTACTTTGAAAAATGTAGAGGGTGGGAGAGAGTGGAAGCTGAGAGACCAGTTAGGATATATTGTAGCTGGACCAGGTGAGAGACAGTGGGGGTTGGATTAGCGTGGAGGTGAAGAAATGAAGAGACAGAAAATTCTACTGGATTTGGATGAATGAACAAGATTTACTTATGGCCCAGGGGTGAGAAATGAGAAGTGACAAAAATAATCTAGGTTCTACTGTTTAGATTAGAATATCAGGTTGAAGGTGTTGCTATTTATTAATCTAGGGATACTTGCAGAGGACACAAGGGTTAGAGAAGTCATGTCATGTTAAATCTGATTTGTCCATGAGACATTCCAGTAGAAATGTCATGCGAGTAGTCAGAAAAATGGATCTGGGGCTCAAGTGGGACATCCCGTGTGGAAATGCACATATGGGAGGCATCAGCTATAGGTGGTATTGAGGTCATGCAACTGGATAAGCTCACCAGAAAGAAAATGGAGAGAGAGAGAGAGAGAGAGAGAGAGAGAGAATGGCCCATCCAATCCCAAGCCCAGGACAGCGAACATTAGAGGATGGATGGAGGTGTTGGAAAAGCGACAGGGCTGCTGGCCCCATCTGGGACATTCCTTCCAGACTGTGGCTGCTTGTGTCTCCTCAAAGTCTATCTCAAAAGCAGCCTGTTCCTAAACCTCTGTGTGGCCTCTGGTTTCTCCTTGCATGCTGCAGAGAGAAGTAAGCCTATTACCTTGTCTTCATGGGTATGGATAGAACAATTTCTTTTCCATTTTAAAAAGTTATTTTAAGATAATTATAGATTTTTTTTTTCTGTTTCCCTTTAAAAACTCAGCCTCGCCCTGGCTGGTTTGGCTCAGCGGTTAGAGTGCCGGCCTGCGGTCCAGAGAGACCCGGGTTCGGTTCCCACTAAGGGCACATACCTGGGTTGCTGTTTGTCCCTGGCCCTGGTTGGGTTGTACAGGAGGCAGCCACTTGATGTGTCCCTTTCACGTCGATGTTTCTCTCTCTCTCTTCCTCTCTCTCCCTCTCACTCTATCTGAACAAAAAATGGAAAAATGTCCTTGGGTGAGGATAAAAAAAACTTTTTAAAATAAATAAATAAAAACTCAGCCTTTCTCAGTTTACCATTTTTGTCCATATGAAATCCGTACCTATGTAAACCCTAAGGTTGTCCCTGCTTGGGAAAAATAATCAAAACATGTTTCTTCTGTGCCTGATGTGGTTACATAGATAAAAGTTAAATATTGCAGATTTGCATACCTTATCAATGACACATGGCTGGCCTGAGTCTAAATTTCACAGATTGCTTTGACATTTACTAATACATAAACAAGCTTAGTTCCACAGTAATTACCTTTTTTGTCTGGGTTCAAATCCCAGTTTAGCCACTTCCTCAATTGGGTGAATTTGGGCATGTTATTTAACCTCTATCTGCCTCAGTTTCCTCACATGTAAAATAGGGATAATAAAATTGTTAAATATAAATTTAAATTTTGGTTGCTGAGAGATTAAATGAGTTAATATATTTTTAACGTTTACCACAGTGCTTATCACATATGGTAGATATATCATTTATAAGCCATCATTTATCACCATCACCATCACCATCATCATTATCTAGCCACTTCTCAGTTACTTTGTGGTGTTTGTGCTTTGGAGAGATGTCATGTCTATACTTTGCCACTGGAGGTCTCTCTTGCATTTCCATGAACCATCACCCTGCATCTTGAGAAGGAAAAAATCCTTCCTAGCTGCTTGGTTGTCAGGTGCTGCCAAAATTCAGGAGGGTAGATTGCTGTTTCTGCTGCCCAAACTCAGGCCCAAGTCGAGAGGTAAGTTTTCCTGTGACAACTGTCTGCAATGCCCCATTTGTCTCAACCAGCTTTCCCTTTAAATCGCCCCCTAGAACACTTTTTGCTTATTCTTCCCAAACCCAGGCGCCTGAGCCTCTCCCTTCCATCCTGAACTACATTCCACTCCTCAGAGGTATGAACGAGTGAAAGGATGAAATGCTAATCCTGATCCCACCATCATCTGAATGTTTGGACCTGAAAGGAGGAGGAATGAGTCAGGGTTTGGAGGAATGGGAGGAGGAAATATTAAGGCTCCTGATAACATAATAAAAATGGATAAATCACCAAGTACTTTGCATGGAGATTCTCAAGCTTTACTGTACATTAGAACCACCTGCAGAGCTTTAAAAACTCTGGATTCTTTGGACACATCCCAGACCAATTACATCAGTCTCTGGGCCAGGACCTGGACACCACAGCAATTAAAACCAATCTCTCAGTGTGTTGTGTAGTATCAGCCTCACCTGAAAGCTTGTTAGAAAAGCAATAGCCCCACCCCAGACATGTTGAATCAGAATCTACATTTAAGAAGACCCCAGGAGATAAATATGCACACTGAATAATGAGAAGCACTCTTTAGCATTCTGATTGTCAAACATGGCTGTACCTTGGAATCTCTTGGGACCCTGGAAAATAACACTGATACCTCCACTTAAAACCTCATTCAGCTGTAATGAATATAAGTACTGAACCAAACATCATAAAAATGTATCTTCCATAGCCATTATTGAACTGGCAAATATCAAAGTTTTATTGGAACTGAGTCATTACCATTTATTTATATATATCCTGTTGATTGTGCACTACAATGACTGCGAGTAGATGAGACAGAGTTCATATGTTCAACAAAGCTTCAAATACTTAACTATTTTGTCTTTTCCTGATGTTTGCTGACCCTTGTCTATAGTAACATTCCCTAAATTTACCTAAAACTGCCAAATGTGTGTGTGTGTGTGTGTGTGTGTGTGTGTGTATACATATATACATATATATGTTTTTATTTTAAATTTTTTAGAGGAAGAGGAAGGGAAAGAGAGAGAGAAACATCTATGTGAGAGAGAAACATAGATCGGTTTCCTCCTGCACGCTCCCTACTGGGGATTGAGCCTGCAACCCTGGGCATGTGCCCTGACCTGGAATTGAACTGGGACCTCTCAGTCCATAGGGCAATGCTCAATCTTTTGAGCCACACTGGCCAGGCAAAACCGTCAAATATTTTTAACATTTCAATTGTTTTTATATGTTCAATATGCTTATTGCAATTCACCCTCAATTTCTCTACCATCACAATCCTTTGGCAAGATAGAAAGCATTTTCTTTAATTCATGTAGACTAAGATACTAATGATTTAATCTGTTATCTCGGGCAAGGATTGTCTGACAGACTGTTGATTACTGATCTAACAGTCATTTTACTCCATCTTATTTACTAAGAGAACACTGATTTTTCGAAGTGACCATGTATCTGGTTCCTTAGTCTGAATCAATCATAAAAGTTTTTCTTGTTTTTTTCTTTTTTAAATCAAGTCGCTTGTTTCTGTAGTCTCTCTTGCTAATAGGGTTGATTACATGACTGTGTTTTGACTTAAGATGTAAATGAAAATAACCTGGATTTCTGATAAAATTTTACTTGCCTGATATACTGATGAGCTTTGTGAAAATAAATCATTTTGCCCCGATTCTTGTCATTCAGACTGTGATGCTGATATGAGGTTGTGATGCCAGGAACAAGGGCAGCCACTGTATAACCACGAGGATAGGGACAAGATAATTGCAGAACCCAGTATAAAGCCCTGTTATAATTGAACAGAAACATGAACTATGGCATTTCTTCCCCAGTCCACCTCCAGCTTCTTGATAAATAAATACAGTTAACTTAATTGCTTAAGTGCCTCTGTGGACATTTTGTTGGTTATCATTCACATATCTAACAGATGTAAGAAAACTACAAGGAGCCCTGGCCAGTTTGGCTCAGCAGTTAGAGCGTCGGCCCGTGGACCAGAGAGTCCCAGGTTCGGTTCCTGTTAAGGGCATGTACCTCAGTTGCAGTTTGTCCTCGGCCCGGGTTGGGGTTGTGTGGGTGGCAACCATTCGCCGTGTCTCTCTCTCATTGATGTTTCTCTCTCTCTCTTCCACCCTCTCTCCCTCCCCCTCTATCTTAAGATAAATGCAAAAAGAAGAAGAAGAAGACTACAAGGAGAAGGCATTTTTCAACATTATACTGGAAATATCAGGGGGGACACTTTGTCAAAAATATGATGGTCTGACCACTATGCTGTACACCTAAAACTAATACA